AAAAAAAAATAATTAAGCAGCACTTCTGAAAATTACAGAAGAAGCAATAAAAAAAAGCAAAACAAAGACCCAACAACAAAGGAAAGGTACCTGCTATATACACTGTAACTACTGGAGAAAGGCAGTTTGCAAGCCTCTCAAAGAACATGCTTCCAGAACTTCTTGAGAAGAAAGAACAAGCAGAAATTAGTTCTGACCACTGTTGTACAGTTACATCAAACAACAGACCACTGCTGCTCCCCAGTTACATCAACCAACCATTTCCAGAATATATTGGTTACAGACTACCAAACAAAGGCCTGAATATGCTTTCAAAGTGGGTAATGTGATATAAAAATTCTTCTAGCAGATGTGATTATGTTTCACTTAAAATGTATTGATTTTTCTTAATCTGGTAGCCAGTCTCCCATGGTCCCTGATCCTCCCCACTTCTGGTCTACATCTACAAACTTTGTATAGTTTCTGCTCACCATGAGTACAGGTGATCTGTTTAATACACAGGATATTACAGAAATGGTAGTGTGAGACTCCTCAGTACAGGTCATACAACATCACGGCTTAGTTTTAATCTACTGGATTACTCGTGCTGAAGAAAGCCATGTTGTGAAGACACTTAAGTAACACGAAGAAGAGGTCCACAGGACAACAGAATCAAGTGCAACGATCCACGGAAAACTGCAGTGAAGTGAATTACTTCATAAGGCTCTTCTACCCATCTTCTTTGTTAACTCCTTCCAAAACACTTGTTTCCTGCCTGATACGTACGAATAAATGAAGGTGGGGGAAGATGCTAAAAGGATTATCTGATACAGCTGCGAGTAATTTCTATCAGGGCTAACTGTGACAGTAAAATCTTAAAACTCTTGTTGGAAAGGTAAATGTTTGGTAACAAAAGGAGGGGAGCGGCTGATTTTGCAGTCCAAGAGGGGAAATCCCTGCAACCATCAAGGGAGAAAAGCGAAGTGTGAGACCATGTCTGGAGAGGCAGTGAGTGACACTAGGGATGGAGGCAGAGGCAATGACATGGACATTAGGAGAGGCTGGGGCCTCTGGACTCAGGAAGGGAGAGGGGTTGGGTGCTGGCAGCCGGGGGGCAGGCGTGTGGGGTGTACTCTGGGTGTTTGATGATGCATGCAGGGGATTGCAATCATTTCAATGAAACAAAGTATGATAGGATGAATGTAAACATAATGTTCACCCATGTAAACTAACACATAATCCACAATAAAAGTGTAAAAAAGAGAAAGAATATAGAAAAAAGAAATCTTGCAACTCTAGCATGGGTATAAAATGAACCATTTCAGAAACTGGAGGGAGGCTCTCACTGCCATCAAGAAGAAAGAGCCAGTAGGGGAGTGCATCCTTTGGACCCCAAGATCCTGTGGTTCAGTAATCTGCAACACTGAGCTTCCTTGATCCAGGAGCAGAAAACTATGATACCAGAGGAATAGCAAAAGACAGCAGCAGCAGAACCAACAGCTAGAGGGTGACCGAGAGTTGGGGGGATTCCCCACACACAGGAGGTAAAAAGCTGCGTGTCTTTGGGCAGGAGGCTCACCTGGGGAGTGGGGTATCTCCAGGCACTTAACTGGTGAGCATGGTTTGCTGACTCGTGGATCTAAGGCTTATTAGTGGCATGTTCTTGAGGCATTTATTGTTACTATTGTTAAGCGCTGTCAAGTCAGTTCTGACTAATAGAGACCATGTATAGGGTTTCCAAGTAGTGGTTGGTAAGCTTGAACCGCTGACCTTGTGGCTCAAACCAATTTTACAGTCCAGCGCATCAACACTCAGCACTACACCAGGACTCCCTGGGCATTTACTGGCACCCCTAAAAGAGCTTTGTAACATTGTGGGAGTAGGGCAGAGGCCAGGACAAGGGGGTAAGTGTCAGAGAAAAGCCTGCCTGTGGGCAAGGCAGAAGAGGCTGTCCTGAGCACTTCTGACCCTGAGTCACCTGGTAACTTCTCTAATAAACCCCATAACTGTGAGTATGCTGATGCTGTCTGAGCCAGAGTGTTCCTTAGAGGCCAAGATGGCCAAACTTCGTCTCTCATATTTCGGACATATTGTCAGGAGGGGGCACTCACTGGAGAAGGATATCATGTTTGGTAAGGTGGAGGGTCAGAGGAAAAGAGGATGACCCCCAACGAGAGGGACTGGCCAAGTGGCAGCATCGATGAACTCAAGCATGGCAACAATACTGAGGTTGGCCCAGGATCGGGCAGTGTTTCGTTCTGCTGTGCATAAAGTCGCTATAGGTCGGTATCGACTTGATGGCACCTAACAACAACAACAACTGCAAAGAATTATGGAGTGCAGCTGAGTAGAGAGTGTGGTGGGAGGGATAACTGCTGCCATTTTCTTACAAAACCCAAGGCTTCCAGTCAAGCGTCAACTGCTGCCATCTTGGGAGCTGATCCTCCAGCTCTGGTGAAACCACTGCCAATATTTAGCTAAACTACTCCCATCTCCTGACCCAAGTAACTGAGAGAATAAAATGTTTGTTGTTTCAAGGCACTGGGTTTCTGGGTTAATTTGTTACACAGAAATAAATTTACTTGAAGCTACAATGTCACAAAATATTTTGGTTTCTAGTACCTAGGTCTTCTTATCTAGACATTGTGTTCTCTCAGAAATATAGAAACTACGAAGTAGTACGTATAGACAATGAAGAAATGAATCCCACTAAAATATACTGCTTTGGAATTACCTAACAAGAATGCTCAAGTTTGCATAGAGTTAAAATACGCTTACATAAAATCAATTTACTTTTATCTTAAATAATCAGGGAAAGAAAGTGCTGCTTAATTCCCTGACTGGTGAGTACAGTATTAGCTGTTGCTAATAAAGAGGACTTTAAAGTGTTACAATGTTAGGCTCTACAACAATTCCCTCTGTTTTCATAGTCTATTTTGTTGCCACTGTTAGACCATCAGTATGTCAAGTAGCAAAGGGTAGTGGCACAGAACATATGGGTCATAAGTCACAGAATACAGGTAGGGGTTTCTTTTCCTGGACAACGTAATTTGTTTTACAAGCAGATTGAATGTGAATTCCCATCTTAGTCTCTTTAGCTCCATGTTCTTTCAAATTAAGGGGAATGAAAATGTTAACATGGAAGGGAATAAAGAGTTAATCTGTGCTCCTCACACTTTCTTAAAAATGAAATAAATTAAAATTTTTGTAGTAACAATACCTATACACTCACCATGTGCTTTAGCGCATTAAAAAGCAATTTTCTTCCAGACGGCTTGTCAAAATCAGCAATAATCCAAAGAGTGACTGCAGAAATTGTATCATCTGAAAGTTTCAAATACTCTCAATTATTTCCAAAATCGAACTAAAAGAATTAACAACATTTACAAAACAGATTTTAAGATAATACTAAATGCCATGTTAAAATCAGTCTTTTTAATTTAATCTCCTGAAATTAAGCAAATGTTGCTACAAACTTTAAGTTTGTAGGGGTGTACACATAAAGGACTATGAGAACCACTGTTCACTGCAGCATTTCACACAGTATCCAAAAAGTGGAAATAACCTAAATGTCCATCAAGAGATAAAAAAAATATCATGCAACTATAAAGAAAAATTAAGTTCTGATGCATGTCATACAACATGGATGAGCACTGAAATGGTATGTTGACCAAAATACTACATGATCTCATTTATATGAAATATGCAAATATATATGAACAAAGATGATTCATCAGTACCAGGATGGGTGGAGGAGGGGATGGGGAAGTTTTCTAGAGGGGGGGCCACAGAGTTCATGTTAATGGTGCTGGAACATTTTAGCTAAGATATTAACAATATGAAAAATAGTGAATCACTGTCATTGTAATGTAAACGTGGAGTTTTGTTGGCAGATGTTTTTGCTATGTGTATTTCCACTACAATAAAAAAAAATACAAGAAAACAAACGCTACAAGAGTAATTCATTGTATAAGCTATCTATGAGCTTAGATATCAAAAAGGAAGAACAGTCCCTAAGGACCAATCAGTGGGATACATTTAAGAGTACAGAAAATTACACTATGCATATCATGGTTCCAGAGAATCAAGAAAAACAGCCTTCTAGCTACATTCTTTTTTTAAAAAACAAAGATAATGTCTATACCTGAGAGAGGTGAAGTATCCTCCCAAATTTCATGTCCACCTAGAACATGACCTTATTTTAAAATGGCACTAATATAGGTGTAATTAGTTCTGAATCTTGAGATGAAATCATCCTGGATTTAGGGTGGGCCCTAAATCTAATGACTAGCTCTGGTAGCGTAATGGTTATGAGTCAGGCTGCTAACCTCAACATCAGCAGTTCAAAACTACCAGCAATTCCATGGGAGAAAGATGAGGCTTTCTGCTCCTGTAAAAATTTACAGCCTCAGAAATCCTATGTAGAGGTTGCTCCGAGTCGGAACCCACTCCATGGCACACTACCACCACCAGTCTCCTTAGAAGGAAAGGAAAAACACCAGGCTGGAGGCAGAGCCACATGTCAATTAAGAAGCAGGGACTACCAGCCACTGGGGGAGCCAAGTAAGGACTGTCCCCTGGAGCCTTCCAGGGGAGCACAGCCTCGCTGACTCCTTGATTTCAGATCTCTGGTCCCTACAACTGTGAGATAGCACATTTCTGTTGTCAGAAGTCACCACACTTGAGATGATCTGTTACAGCAGCCCCAGAAAATGAATGTAATACCCCACACAGATGGAAAAGAAAATATAATCCAGCTGATGAGTGGATGGAGAAAACAATAACACTTCATTAGTTCATAATTTGGTTATTTTTAAATGTCTGACTTAACTTGTCTAATTTGCATTATCTCCTACATCATCAACCTTGGCTTTACTGGCTTTTCAGAAAATTCTGCAAACTTGAAATGTAGAAGAAAAAACCATCCTGAAGTTGCAGTTAAATGTGTTTAACAAGTAATACTTGTCTGGCTGTCATTGAAATCTCGGGAAAAACTGGCTCTTGAGAATGTTACCATAGGTGATCCATTTTTATACTTTAGGTCAAACACTTGCTATACCAAAAACTTACTCCTAAAAATATTTCAAATAAGTTATTACCATTTTCAGTATTATCCAGCTCTATAAAAACTGGTCTCGGTCAATAAAAGAAAAATGGGAACAAAAATTAGGATAACACTAGTTTCGCTTGCAACTCAGAAAAGCAATTTAAGATTAAGGCCCACCCAAACCACACCTACTGCCACTGGGTCGATTCTAATTCAAACGACCCTACGTAGGATTGCCAAGATTGCCCCTCAAAAAAAGGCACAGACAGCCTCAGCTTTCTCCCATAGAGGGGCTGGTGGGTTTGAACCACTGACTTTAAAGTTAGCAGGTCAACAATTAACCCACGTGCCACCACGTTCCCTAAGATAAAGGCAGTAACACATTGTTTTCAAAGAAAGGTGAAGAATTGAGATACTTTTTCAATGTTGAAATTTTAAACAATTTTATTCATTTCGTACACATTTATATAAATACAAGGAAAAGGACATTAACTGTTTCTCAGTTAATAGTTTTCATCTCAGAATCCAATAAGAATCTTTCTCCTATTATTTTTCTTCCCTATTTCTTGGTTGCTTTTAACTCATACACTCAGAATTGTAATTCATTGTAACATGGAACTATTCTTTTTTTTAAAGGAGTCATGTCTATACCTGAGAGTATTTTATTTGTTGGGTTTTCTTATAGATGACCTCTTTATGGACATAAAATCACTGAATCTGTAGACAATTACCCACACACCTCCTGACAGACTCTTGGGCTCATCCCACAGTATTCTCAAACGCTGCTTGAGTGATCTCTACTTAAATCTCTCTCATATGTGGAAACTTACTCCTTACAAGATACTCCATCAATTTTCAGAGTGTTCTCATTATTAGGATGTTACTGCTTATACACTGAGATGGAGCTACATAGTAGCCTTACTCTTTTTATTTCTGGGGATCTAGTAGTTCTCTCTAGAGCAAAGCAGGTTAAACAAAACAGCAATGCAAAACAAAAACAAACTAACTCCAATAACTCCACTGATGTGAAGAATTAGTACTGTCCCCAAGCTATTTATGCCCCCACTGTGGGCTGCTCAGCCAAGGCAAAGTGCTTGCTTCCAATATATTGCCGTCTTAACCTGTACTCCCCAGTTTGACTCTCAACATAAATAAAACATCCAGCCCACTTAGGGAAAAGCACAACTATTATCTCCTCTGATCTGGATATGATACTTTTATTCAGGGCTTCCAAGACACTAGCCTACAAAGTCTTTAAAAAGTTTTGTTGCTTTCTTTAAAAAGTGAAAATGGAATAGGTTATTTAAAAAACAGATACCCCCTCAAATGAATCCTATCAACAAATATGATCAGCTAACACATAAAACATACAGTTTTATAAGTAAATCCTTAAATCTTAATAAATGATAAGCTCTCAAGTTGATTATGATGGCTTTCTATTCAAAATAGAAACATTTTATAAAATGCTTTACTAAAATTACATATTTTTGCTACATTAGGAATACATGTAAAAAAATAAACTATGTCTATTACCTTCTGGGGTTAAATAATACATGTTCTTGGCAATTACAGCACTCTTATCTTGTGAATCCAAGAAAAAAAAAGTCGTGAAATCTTCAAGATCCGCAGTTACTGAAAAATTTCACATTAAATGTTAAATAAAGAATAAAATAAAAGATACACAAACTCAGTATGTATTGTAAAAAAGTAATGAAGATTATTTACCTGATGTAGGTATTAAATTAAGGTACTGTGGTTTAGAGTGTAAAATCAAATTGTTTATACGAGGTACAACAGTATTCTTATCCATAAGATAATTAATTACATTTGTTCGATCATTTAATGTGCCCTAAAATAACAAAAAAACGTATTTAGGTAATATATACATTTTTTATGCAGATGTCTTAAAATGACACTACGAATATTTCATTTTAAAAGTTAATGATAATACGAGGGGGACTTCAAAAAGTTTGTGGGAAAATTCCATTATATTTTAATTACATTTTCTTTTGAACTTTTGATTCCTTCTCATAAGTAATTTTGGATCCTTGCTGTAAGTTTTCTGTAAAAATTTAAATGTTTCTTCCTAATAAAGCTAATTTTAAATGTCATTGTGAACAAGATAAATTAAATGATCACTTTCAAATCACTATTAAATTATGAGAATGGACATTTTTATAAAATGAGTTTTTGCTATTAACATAAACATCACTGATAATTTATTCATGAAATTCTTTTCTCGGAAATGCTGACTTACCATAAAAACTTCTCTCTGTAAATAGACACATGTGTCCACCATCCTGTGAAGAACAGCCATCTCCAGGTCCTTCAGAGTCATGTCTTCAAGTTTGAAGGGTTCACCATTATAAAGAGCTTGAGGCAAAGGACCCAGACCCGACATTTTATAAAAGTTTGCTCCTGCCTGTTCAGTGAAAAAGTATCAGAGAGTAAAACAAGAACAGCTGTCTGGAAAAGCAAGACATGAAAAATGGGAAGGGCACTATCTTTATATGTTGTGGTTGTGAAGTGCCGTCGAGTTGATTCAGACCCATAGTAACCCTGTACAGGGTTTCCAAGGAGCAGCTAGAGAGCTTGAACCACTGACCTTGCAGTTCAAATGACTTTGCAGTCTGATGCATTAGCCCACAGTGCCACACCAAATGCTACCCCCAAAATTTCACTTTGCTAGTTTTATCTGTGCTTTCCAAATATGGTTTATCTACGAGGAGTCCTGGTAGTGGGGTGGATGATGAGCTGGGTGGTTAGCAGCAAGGTCACAAGTTTGAATCTATGCCACTGGAGAGAGAACGATGACCGCAAAGATTTATGGTCTCCGAGACCCAGTACTGTGTTGCCCTGACTCAGTATAGAATGGACTCCCCGGCACACAACCACCACCACCTTATCTACAGAGAGCTGGAGAGTGGAAACTTTCTTCTTTTTTTCTGGTAATGTGTCAGGCAGTAAATAGAGTATAAGCATCAAAATAACCACATTTAAAAGTAGTCTATAAAAATGCCACTGTCTTCCTTATAATTATTCATACTGTTCTAACTTTATCCTTCCTCACTGACAACTACACAATCGGACAATGGTAACAAGTATTAGAGAACAGTCAGCACAACTGAGGTATCCCAGAAAGGAAAGGAAATGAAGAAGGTGACTCCTATGACTGTCCTGAAATTATATATGTGCATGTGCATGTGTATATATAAGGAGCTCTGGTAGCGTAGTGGTTACGAATCAGGCTGCTACCTCAGGGTCAGCAGTTCGAAGCTACCAGATGTTCCGCGGGAGAAAGATGAGACTTTCTGTTCCCATAAAGATTTACAGCCTCGGAAACCCTGTACAGGGTCGATATGAGTCTGAACCGACTCCATGACACTCAACAACAACAACAGCAATATATGTGTGTATATATGTGTGTGTGTATATATATATATATATATAAAACGCAAATTACTGATTACACACTCTACTTCACTCACTCTGTAAAGGCACTGGGCATATTTCATCCAATATGACATAAATGATTTCTGCTCTCAAAGAACTTAAGAGTCTAGTAAAAAGGTAAATATTGAACAAATATTTCTCAGTATAATTTAGCATTGTGAAGGCATACAGAATACTATGTTAGCATCAAATGAAACCATTTAATGTCTTCTAGTCAATTCTAATGCATAATGACCCTCTGCTGGGTTTCCAAGACTGTAAATCTTTACGGGAGCACGCAACGCAACCTCATTCTTTCAGGAGTGGCTGGTGGGTTTGGACTGCAGACCTTGCACTTAACAGCCCAACACCTAACCAGCAGTGCCACCATGGCTTCTAATGCAGTTCAGAAGGTTTTCATAGAAAGTGCCATTCGAGCTATGAGCTAAAAGGTAAGAGGAAGCAAAAAGAGAAAAGGAATGGCTGTGGGCCTGAGGCTGGTAAGTGTAAGAGTTGCTCTGGTGGAAAGGAGAATGACCTCATTCAAGATCTTGAAAGAAGGACAGTGGCCACACCAGAAACAGCGAGGAGAATGACAATTCTTTACTATGGAAAGAGAAGAGAATAAAAGAGGGATGAAATCTGGTGGGGCCTTAAAGTGCTAGTGATTTTGAACTTTACCCTAAAGGCTAGAGGAGATAAACAAATAATATTAAATGAAAGAGTAACAACACCAAATGTGTTGTTGTTTTTTTTAAAACTCATACAAATTCAAGTAATCTACAGAAGAAGGAAGAAATAACAGAGACACTGTACCAGAAAGAAATGGCTGATGTTCAACCAATGCAAGTGGTAGCATATGATGAAGAGCCAAAGGCACTGAAGAAAAAAGTCCAAGGTGCACTGAAGTCACTGGCATAGAACAAGGCTCCAGGAATTGATGGAATACAATTGAAATCTTTCAATACATTGAGGCAGCACTGGAGGCACTCACTCATCTATGCCAAGAAATTTGAAAGACATCTACCAGGCCACTGATTGAAAGAGATCATATTTGTGTCTATTCCAAAGCAATGTAACCCAATGGAATGGGGAAATCATCATTAATATCACATGCAAGTAAACTTAATTTAAAAATGGTTGCAATGGTACATTGATAGGGAAATGCCAGAGGTTCAAGCTGGATTCAGACTAGGGCATGGAAGGAGGACTATCTCTACTGAAAGCAGAGAATAACAGAAATAGGTTTACCTGTGCTTTACAGACTATGCAAAGGCTTTTGACTGTATGGATCAGGACAAATTATGGACAACATTGCAGAGAATGAGTATTCTGGAACACTTAATAGTGTTGGTTAGGAACCTGTACACAGACGAAGTCATTCAAACACAATAAGAGGACATTGAATGGTTTAAGATCAGGAAAAGTGTGCACCAGGGTTGTATTCTTTCACCACACTTATTCTGTCTGTACTGAGCAAATAATTTGAGAAGCTGGATTATATGAAGAAGAACGTGGTATCAAGATTGAAGGAAGACTCGTTAACAATGTGCAATACATAAATGATACATCCTTGCTTGATGAAAGAAAGGAAAACTTCAAATACTTATTGATGAAGAGCAAAGATCACAGCCTTCAGTATGGGTTGTACCTCAATATAATTAAAACAAAAATCCTCACCACTGGACCAATAAATAACATCATGATAAATGGAAAAAAGATTGAAACTGTCAAAGATTTCATTTTGTTTGGGTCCACTATCAGTACTCATGGAAACAGCAGTCAAGAAATCAAACGACATATTGTATTAGGCAAATCTGCTGCACAAGACCTCTTTAAAATGTTCAAGAGCAAAGATGTCAGTTTAAGAATTAAGGTACTCCTGACCAAGTCATAGTGTTTTCAATAGCCTCATATGCATGTGAAAGTTGGATAATGAATAAGGAAGACTCCAGAAGAATTGATGCATTTGAGTTACGGTGTTGTATAAGAATATTAATAGTACCATGAACTGCTAGGAAGAACAAACCAACCTATGTTGGAAGAAGTACAGCTAGAACGCTCCTTAGAAGCCAGGATGGCCAGACATCGTCTCTCAAACTTCGGACATATTATCAAAGAGGGACCAGTCCTTGGAAAAGGACATCATGACTGGCACAATGGCAGCAGCAACTGTTTCAAGTTTAATAATGATTGTGAGGATGGTCCAGGACGAGGCCGTGTTTCATTGCTGTGACTAGGTGGTTATGAGTGGGAACCAAGTTGACATCACCCAACAACTTAAAACTGGGATGCCCACAGAAATCCTGTGAGCCACAGCCATAACAGTCTTACAAATTCAACCCCAATGATGAGCTCATTCAAAAGCTTGGTTCTTGTCCTAGACTTGGTGTAAAACCCCAATTTCGATTTTTATTTTCTAAGAATACAAACCACGCCTTTTACAATTCTATTGTTCATACTGTCAATGCTATCTTCTATTTTCTTTCCAAATAAATCAAGTGGAGATTTTAATACTTTATACAGCATGGGTCATTCAAATGTCTAACATTTTCCTTCTTTATATGGGAGAAAAATCCCAATTATGCATAAACTGTATAGAAATAATTCTGTTCATGATATTATATTAAATGTTTCTTAGATTTTATTTTTCAAAGTGTCATCCCAAGTTACCTTTCTTTCTTCATCATATTTAGAATTCATTCCCAAAACATCCCAGACATTTACTTGAGGAAATTTCTTTTGAAGAACACTCTTCACGATGTCCACAGTGAGTATATTTTGACTCACTTCTTCATACATCTGTGGAAATATATTATAATTAATTTTAATCTATTGCAATTAGTTTGTTCTTATTAAATAGACACATTTATAAAATAAACAACATACTTTGTGTTTATATATGAGTACATAGACACATTAATGTAAAAATAATTTTAACTGTACAATATATCTTCTAATATTTTGTGTGTGAATATTGTACACTTTCTGAAATACAACAACAAATTAATGTTTTATTTTGGTCATACTAAACATCATGATTTTTAATTTACTTTAAAACATAAGTGTAAAACATGTAAAAGTGACTATTTCATAAATGCTTCACTTTTATTCTGACTGATCTTCGGTCAATACTTTGACTAGATTTTCTCTGCACCCCCATTACCTTCCTGGTCTGAATGGTCTAAATACACTTGCATAAACTGTTACTCTGAGCAGATGACTGAGCCAAGATCTATGGATGAACACTGACTAGCGTTGTGGCAATCTGGGCAGAAAGAACTTCCCCAGGAGAAAGAACAACCCTTAAGCACACGCACCATTAGCAGCATTGTGACACAGACTAAGAAGCTTACAGTCCTCATTCACTTAAACAGTTAGTACCCATCGAGTAGGTTCCAACTCAGTGACCCCATGCAACTTAGAAAGCAACACTGCCGGCTTCTGAGCCATCCTCACAATCGTTGTTATGCTTGAGCCCACCACTACTGCCCCTGTGCCAATCCATCTTATTGGTGGTCTTCCTCTGTTTCACTGACCCTCCACTTTACCAAGCATGATATTCTTCTCTAGGGACTGGTCCCTAATGTTAATACGTCTGAAGTAGGCGAGAAGAAATGTCACCACGGTGGCTAACAAGAACATTCTGATCGCATTTCTAAGAATTTCCAGGACGGTTGTGGCTAATTGTTGTTGTTGTGCCGTCAAGTACGGTTCTGACCCATAGTGACCCTATATAGGGTTTCCAAGGAGTGGCTGGTGAGCTTGAACCACCGACCTTGTGGTTCAAACCACCTTTGCAGTCCAGTCCACTAATCCATATCACCCCACCTATTATGGCAAACAGAATTCCCATATTATGCAAGGGTGTTCCAAAGTTCATGGACAAGTAGAGTTAAAAGACTATGGAATTTTTCCATGAATTTTTTGAAGTCCGCACATATTCTTCTTCATAGTAAAAGATAATCATTCTCCTTTGCTCTCCCTGTATATCACCATAAACTTTGTTATCTATTCCTTTAAGAAGGTTTTTAGTTCAAACAAAGAGTTTAGTTTTATGAGCTTCTCAGTTTGGGGGAAAGTTTTCTGCTATTCATATGAAAGCAGAGCATATTTTCCACTGAACAAAAATCCATTTTCTAGTCACAGTGGTCATTGGACACATTCATAAATACGAAAACCTTAATGACTCAAAAAGGCAAACACTGTAGTCTTCTGTAAAGCATAAGTAAAAGAATGACATTTCTAATCAGTCAAAGCACACGTATGAAAAGGCACTGAAATGAGACATTTTACCCTACTGGAAACATAAGATGTTCCTATAAAATAGAGTAGCCAAAATATCTTGCATAAGATACTTTAAAAAAGGTTCAATCTTCTTACACATTAAAAAAACTTACATAATTTGATAAGCAAAAGAGAAATACATGTAACATGTTAGGAAGCAAAAAAATTAAATGAACAATCCCCATTAATAAAATAAAATGCATAACACAAAAAATGGAACATCACCAATACCTTTGAAGTTATTTATGTGGTTCCCATTTATGTGACATCCCATTTTCCTCTGGCTCCATCCCAGAATCAAGCATTACTTTGATTTAGTATTCATTCTCCTCCCTTTTAAATTCTACAGTTTTCACTTATACTCATGTATGAGGGTAGTCAAAAACTATTGCCATAAACTATAGAAATGTTTATTAAACAAAAATATCAAACTGTAACACCATTGTTTCTCTACATACCCCCCATCTAGCTAGGTCTATGCACGTCTAAAGGTGGGGTTTCCATTGCTCTAACTCAGAAACCTTATGTGGGGCCACTATGAGTTGACAGCACTTAATTGACTCAATGGCATTCAGCCACCCCCACCACCCTTCCCTGAAGAACCTGCTCTCTTCGAATTACCACAATAAAAATGACAGTATTAGCAAACTCAAGTTCCTTTTAAATATTTGTGGAGTTTTGGAAACAAAAAAAGTGTGACGAGGAAGACCAAGACTACAGGGTGGGTGGGGTCTGTGAACAATGAGCAGGTGCACTGTCATGACAGAAAAAAAAAAAAAAAAAAAAATTCCTCTATGCAACTGTTCTGGGCCATTTCTCACCAATGCAGTTTTCCATTTTCTTAAAATTTGTTTCTAGTAAGCTCCCCAGGATTGTGCTATGTGCTTTTGAGAAAATCTACGAAGACAGCTTATTTGAAACCTCAAAAAAATGTCACCATAACTGACTCAGAAAGTCCCTCCAGAAGCCACTGATTTGCTTGAACCTTGTATCTGAAAGTACCCTAATGAGACGAAGACAAGTGATCATGGAGATCCAATGATCTCAGATACAAGCTTAAACATGTTTTCTTTATACTAAATCCAGGCATGCATGAGCCCTAGCAGCAATACTTGCCTTAGTATTCCCATGCACTATGCCATTTCGGTTTTTTGTTGCTTCAAGTTACAATTCTCGATGATTCTGTTAACTAGAGTCTCCTAGTATACAGGTGTTACATTTCTTTTAGGGTTTCTTTTCTATGGGGGGGGTGTTATACAAGTTTAACTTCAGATTCCAAGTACTCTCAGATGAATGTCAGTGCAGTTGTAACCATTTATGAGCCTACCTGAAATGTGGCAGTGGTGAATAAAGGTGATCCCGTTGCTCTAGAATCTCAGTAAGACACTGATCCCAGAGTTTACATTTTTTGTCTAATTAAAGGGTATATAATATTTTCTGGTAGTCTTTATTTGAATCTCTTCCGTTTCTAACTATCATTTATTTATTTATCACCAATAATCTCAGTAAACATTTACTTTAAAGCAGCCTCAACAACTTTTGTTTTGTTTTAAGAAAATCTCTTTCTTTTCTTGGGTTCTTTGTATTTTCCTATTTGATTTGTAAGAAATATTTCTATCTGGTGGAATATAAATCTTTTATTGATTAAATATATTATAAATACTACTTCTGTATGGAATTTATGACAGTTTTAAACCAACACTAATGATCATTTTTAACGTAGCTAATTTATTACTACACAATACACTCCCAAAAGAACACTGCTTTACTAATGTTACTTTCTACAGGATCTCTGGGTATGAAAATCTTGGGGTCATAGTATAATTCTGTGAGTTACCCCAACTTTCTCACCCTCCAAACTTCAAGGAATTCTAATACACTTTTTCTAAATATTTCTTCCTCATTGATTTCTTTCTCTTAAATTTTTTATAGACTGTGTTACATATTTAGTATCTTCTTTTATGTTGGTTTATATTGAACCCTCTGGTTTCTAGTGTAATTGTCCAGTTTTTTCTAAGAAAGGAGAACATCATGGTAGCTAATTCAAATGGTGATTGACAGTATGTCATTACATGCAACTTAGCAAGTGCTAGAGAATGTTTGTAGAATATAGATAACAAAGATAACATAGTAAACAAAGGCAAGAAGTGACTGGCTTACAAGCTTTCAAGAGGGAACCTAGATTCAGAGGGCGTGAAGGAAGGTAGAATCTCCACTGAGCAGTATCCAATCTGTCTAGGTGGGGTGGATGAAATGTGCATTCATCTCTTGTGATATAATAGTGAATAATTTTTATCAGGACTGCTTGTGAGGGTTGGAAATATAAAGGTAGATGTTTTGTACCAAGGAGGGGAGCAATGAACCTTTCAGCCTAGGAGCGGAGGTCCCTGGGACCATCAAGGGAGAAGAACAGAGACCGGGACTCTACCCAGAGAAGCAGTGATGCCTGAGATGGAGACAGGGACAATAACGTGGAGAGATGGAGCAGTTGAGGACTTTAGACCCAAAGAGGGAGAGGGACTGTGTGCTGACGACCGGGGGGCAGGCTTTTAGTGTATACCCTTTGGTTGGTTGATGATGCATGGAGGGGATTGTAACCATAACAATGAAACGATATAAGATAGGATGAATGTAAAACTAATCTTCTCCCATGTAAACTATCACATAATTCACAAAAAAACATTAAAAATAAAAAATAACGTAGTAAAAGATCATTTCTGAAAGTATACAGATTTTTGAGCTTATGAATATAAAACTGACCTTTTTATATAAAAGGAACCAATTTGACTAAATCCCTCATAATTTCTAACATGAATTCACTAGTAAAATTAATATACTTAAATACAATATTGACACCTATTCTATGATACTATTGATAGATATTCTATCTTCCAAAATCCTAGTGTGTAGCTAGTTTCTACATCTTGTTGTTGTTGTTACCTGAGGACAGTGAATTAATTAGGCATTTATTTTTTTTGAAAGCTACGGATGTATAGTAGGAAATTTACACTAATTTTGAAATTTCTCATTTTCAAAAGCAAAAGCCCAGTGGCTATCAAAATGAACAGAAGTTTAAGCTGTTGTTTTCCAAATGACCACATGACTTTCTTAATAATAGCAACGTTGTTATTGTTCAGTGCCATTGAGGCAGTTCTGACTCATAGCAACTTTGTATAGGGTTTCCAAGGCTTTAAATCTTTTTGGGAACCGAAATCCTCATCTTTATCCCACAGTGGCTAGCAGGCTACAGCCTTGGGCCTTGTGGCTCATAGTCCAGTGCTTATTTTATGGAGCCACCATGCTCCCCTCTAAAATAGCAATATAGCTGCTTAATAATTTAAGCTTCACAACAGGCCATATCAATGGTTTCAAAACTTCAAGTATCCAATAATCTCCCTACTCTGTCTTCCTTCAAGTTCTGATCAATTTCAATTTTTCATGTACAAACTCCTCGTCAGAGTCAGTATCAATCTTACCTCCTGTACACCAGTTTGCTGCATCTAAGTGATCTCTGCTGTCTTTGAAATTGTCTGTATACTCTATGAACTAGAATGTCTAACTTTGCAGTCTTTATTCATGATTTTATTTAAGACCTACTAAATGAAGAATTCATTTCTGACTAATCGTTTCCTAATAGTACAATTTCATCTAAACTCATAAACACAGCTCAAGATCCTTTATTGGCTGAGTAAATATAAGTACATTCATTTATATTGGCAAAGCCTTAGTTAACTAATTTATCAAGTGGGGACTATTGGATACTTTAGTAGGGAGTTCCAAAAATCAAATAAATCTCTATGAATTCTCATAATAGCTTTTACAAACTTTGAAATTTTACAATAACACTGATAATACAAGGAAACGAAATACCCTAGAGGAATTTTACCTATATATATAAACTCACCTGAACCATATGAACAAATGCTTGAGATACACTGTGTTCTTTTGTAATATAATTGAAAGCTCGCCAAAGAGCAACTCCAGCATCGTTTGTTACATCAACTTCATCATCTGTATTAAGAATGAACACAAAACCAATCCTGGAAAAAGAAGATGAGATCATGAATGTCATAACTACAATAAACCATTGTTTTTAAAAAGTATTAGCTGAGATGAAAGGAATATGTTAGTAGATAGGAGAAGGGACAAAGTAAATTTGATTTTAAATCCTTAGTCACCAAAATCCTTGCACATACTGGTCATTTGCATAATGTCAAATTCTCTCTCATGATGACATTATCAAACGACCCTATTCTCCTGGGAAAAAAGGGAATCTTAGCATGAAGCTGTAAGATAAGCACTGGCTTGCTAATGCCAAGGTTGGTGGTTGAAGCCTATCAGCTGCTCCTGGAAACCTCCAAGGGTCACTACGAGTCGGACCCGAAATGACAGCACATAACAATACTTTAACACAATCAAAGGGAAATGAATCCGTCCATACGTTTCCAAAGCAATCAGGGTTCGGGGTAAACAAGATTACTAGGCAGCTTTGAGGAAGAGAGTCTACTGATAAAGGTAGACCACATTGTACAACACACAAAACACAACACATATGAAATATTTCTTCAAACTCTACATTAATACTGTGTATAATATAATACAAATCATTGTCAACTTAGTGTTACAAAATGGCAATTACCTAAGAGGAATTTTATGAGAATAAAACAGTTCGGCAAGTTCTATAAAATCCAAGGTATATTCTTCAGCAGGATCAATAAACAGAACCTGAAAGGAAAGTAGACAGAATAACTAGTTTCCTTCTCAACCATTCAGAATTCTTATGAAATTCTAGTTTAGTCTAATTCCTGTAGCTAAAAGTATGACATTCAAAGTACAATTTTTAAAAATAAATGTCTCCCAGTTGTATTCTAAAGAACCATGAAGAATATATGCAAAAATTGGGAATTTATGAAGATTTCTTGAAGTTGAACATTTAATATCTACTCAGCAGTTCAAGTTCATCAGCTGCTCCTTGGAAATCCTACGCTGGGTCGCTATGGGCCAGAGCCGACTCGACAGCACTTAACAACAATAATACATGGATGGGATTTAAGTTCAGAGCTCTCATCTTTTTGGAAGTAGGACCAAAAACATAGTATCTCTTACTTGTACCTTATTGTAAATGATTCATTAGATTTTCTGTTTTTAAACTTTAGAAAAAAGGAAATAGAAATTTTTTTTGACAAAAAAAACAAAATAGCATTATTATAACTACTTGCTCAAAGTTGCTGTAGGAAATAAGATATTCACTTCCTATCTAAAAATATATAAAGCCCCAGATGTTTGTGACAAATATCAAAGTTCCCATAATGTTCTTTGGATAGTTCATATTGCAGTAAATGTATTTTGAGCATAAATGTTAAGGTGATATTTATGTATTTTCCCTGAAATGTACTAAACTTATGTCATGAGTCCCTTACAATACAGCGTAAAGGAAAATACATGAGGACTGACTAATAATGTGTTATTACGGGCTGTTGGCATCCACTCAGCCATTCCACATCAGACTTGTTGCATTAAGCAAATCCTTTCTTCTTACTACACAGATGTCTATTTATCAAGAGTAAGATAATAAACAAATAATGTGAACCTTATAAAATATTTATACACATTAGCAAAAAACAAACCAAGTGCACTGCCAACAAGTCGATTCTGATGAGAGTGACCCTATATAGAGTCTTCAGGACTGTAAATCTTGACAGGAGCAGACAACCGTATGTTTCCCAGGGAGCTGCAGGGTTTGAACCACTAACCTTACAGATAGCAGTCCAACACTTATCTAAAGGCACCACCAAGAATTCTTACATACATATAGCAAAACATTAAACTTACCAAATTATGAAAATTACGCCTTATGGAAGGTATGTTTCCAGGGAACGCTGGCTTAAGAAGCTCCCGGCAACTTGGAGACCATGTAATATACAAATCGTCATGCTCTAAGTCATTAATCCACTAGAAAAGAATCAAGAAATCTGTGAAAGCTTGATTAAGACAGTAAATCACTTCCAAAGACAGATGTTTACTATGCCACATGATGAAAGAAAATACACAATCTTCTTTATTTCTGATTAAACATTAGAAGTTGAATTAATTCTTTAAAATAAGAGCCATTATGTGCAAAGATATTATACTATCATGTCCTCTTACACTAAGCTTTCTTCCAAAATCTGCTGACATCTTCCACTCAAGTATCTGGTTTTCCTGATACAAAATAAGATTATACAAATATATCCATAAGCCACTGAAGAGAAGTACTGATCTTAATAGTCAGCAGAATAGGAAGCAACAAGGTCCTCCACCTCTTTGGTCATCTTAAAAGCTTGGGTTTACTCAAAGTAAATCAAGCTGATTCCAGCTCTCAAAGCAAGCCCCCGTGTGTAATGAGTAGAGTTGCTCCACAGGGATTTCCTGGCTGTAATTTTTATGGAAGCAGATCTCCACTCTTCTAAAGTTTGTGGAAGAATCACATTATCTTTGAATTCTATTTTCCCGGGACCTTTTGAAGCCCCCTCATAGAAAATCTCTCCCAGGTATTTAGAGAACTCTATGTTAAAGTCTTTTGCATATTTTTTTTTTTCCATTAGAATCTTAAAATTTTTCTAATTGATGCAAGTAAATCCTTTACATATTTTAAGTATGTAACTTCTTATTCTAATGCATTTTCACACATATTTTACTTAGTATTTGTTTAAATGTTATGGAGTCTTCTGAGGAATGCAAGTCACAAATATGAATATTTGATTCGTCTATAACATTTAATCCATTTGAAGTTTACTTTGTTTTTCGGTATAAGGTGAAGAACTACATGGATGTTCTTTCTACTAAAAAGCAACCAGAAAAAAAAAAGCAACCAGATTCTTCTACTTCCTATAGTTTCATGATTCTCATTTTATAATAATGATTTTATAATATTTCTACAACAACAACTATAAAGATACACATTGTCTAAACTTTATCAATAGGGTTATGTATTATTATTGTTACTTTCGATCATGTTTAACTACTACTGAATATGTTGTTGTTGTTAGTGTTGTCGAGTCAGTTCCAACTCCGGCGACTCTATATAAGGTTACCAAGAGTGCCTGGGAGATTTGAACTGCCGACCTTGAGGTTACCGTGGCTAGCAGTCCACTACTTATCCTACAGCACTACACCATTTTTGGATCAAATATTCTGTAAAATTCATCTACAACAGTGTTTGGCTATTATAGTTTCATGTTAGTAAAACAAGTCTCCCTTCTTTACTCTTCTTTTAAAAAAATATTCGTGTTTTCTTACCATCTTAACTTTCAGATTCATTTAAAAAATATAAAGTGCCTAGAGGTTTTTGATTAGAATTGCATTCAATCAAGAAATTGGTTTTGGAAGTGACATGACCACAGTACTTATTAACATGGCATGCCATTCCTGTGCTTTCATGTTAAGCCTTGAGTCTACCGGAGGTTTGAAAAGAAGACCCCTGTGAGTACTCACCTTGATAGAAGAATGCCGAATGTCTAAGGCATAGTTGTATTCCCAAGTATGTGAATTCAATTTTAAAAACTTGCTTATATCTTCTCCATTGATCCCAAGGTTTTGAAGGCCATTCATCATTTTTCCTTCTAATTTCAGCATATCCAAAATACTTTATGTTTAAAGAAATAAACACATGTTATTTTGACTTTTGCAAAAAATTTATTTCTTTTATTCATAAAAATCTGATGGTCTTCTTAAAACATTAGAAATGAGTTTCATTGGAACTTTTATTAACAGCAGGAAATATTATTATATCAAATACATTACAACATAAGGCAGATATAGCTCTTCTAATTAATTATCATAAAGCAAATTTATGTTGTGATCTATTTCTAGTGGTAATAAGACCTTATTATTATTTAAAGGATAAAGCAACAAAGCATAAAGATGTATCCTTTATCAAAGAAGTAAGAGGATATAATACCCATTCACAAGTCAAAATTGAGGGGAAAATATGTCACTTTTTAATCACCTACTACAAAATTGTTGTTGTTGTTGTTGTTAAGTGCCGTTGAGTCGGTTCTGACCCATAGCGACCCTGTACAGATAAAGCATGTCTTAAATGTAAAATTTTAGCACAGAGTAAAGCCCTATATCATTAACCATGAAAGT